TGGTGCAGGGCCTCATCAAAGAGGGTGGGGCTGTTCTTAAACCCCTGTGGCAGCCATGTCCAAGTAAGCTGTCCGGAAATTCCCAGGTCAGAGTCCTTCCATTCGAAGGCAAACAGGGGCTGACTCTGGTGGTGCAGCTTTAGACAGAAGAAGGCATCTTTCAGGTCCAATACAGTGTACCAAGTATGGCTAGGAGACAAGGTGCTCAGCAAGTTATAAGGATTCGGGACCGTGGGGTGGATATCTTCTACCCGCTTGTTGATTTCCCTTAAATCGTGTACTGGTCTGTAATCCTCGCTTCCAGGTTTCTTAACAGGCAACAGAGGAGTGTTCCAGGCTGACCGGCAGGGGATTAATATTCCTTGCTCCAGCAGTCTTTTAATGTGTGGTCTAATCCCTTGGCGGGCTTCGGCCGTCATAGGATATTGTTTAACAGCCACCGGTGCCGCGGTGGCCTTTAATTCGATAATTAGGGGTGGCCGATGTATAGCTAATCCCATTCCTCCTGTCTCTGCCCAAGCGTCAGGGTATTTGGCCAGCCATTGGTCTATGTCTGTTTGGGCAGGATGGGGATCATGATGTAGTCTATATTCATCTTCTAATTTAAGGGTGAGCACTTGTATAGGTGCTCCTTTAGAATCAGTAATCTTGGCTCCCTTATTTTCAAAATGGATGTGTGCTCCAAGTTTGGTTAGTAGGTCCCGTCCTAGTAGGGGGTAGGGGCAGTCTGGTACGTGCAGGAAAGCGTGAGTGACTGTTCCTGAAGCAAGCTGAACCTTCCTGTTTGTAGTCCAGTGATAGCGTTTGGCTCCAGTTGCCCCCTCCACCCATATAGTTCTTTTGCTGAGTGGGCCAGTCATCTGGGTAAGGACGGAATGTTGCGCCCCAGTATCTACCATGAAGGTGACTGGCCTTCCCCCCACATGAAGAGTTACCCTGGGCTCAGGTGGGGGTTCCTGGCCCCGACTTCCCTAATCAAGCTGAAGGACCTCGGCTTTTCTTTCTTCTGGGTTTTTCTTTCTCCTGGGGCAATCTTTTGCCCAGTGTCCTTTTTCCTTGCAGTAAGCGCATTGGTCCTTTTCCAGTCGGACAAGCCGATTGTCTCCCTTCCTTTCTACTCTGCCTCTTCCTTCCTTTCTCACTACTGTGGCCAGGATTCTACTCAATTCCTTATTCCGCCTTAACAAAATCTGGCTCTCTCCTAGCTGAGTTAACACTCTTAAAGGGTTAGCAAGAGGGACCAGAGAGATTGCTCAGTGTTAAAGCACTTGCTATGCAAGCATGATAACCAGAGTTCAGATCCTTAGAATCCCCATAAATGTCAGGTAAGCATGGCAGCCCCACCTATAATTTCTAGCCTCAGAAGGCAGAGACAAGGGATTTCTAGAACAAGATGACTAAAGAGCCTAGCCATTTTAGGCAAGCTCTAGGTTTGATTGAGAGACCCTGCCTCAATGAATAAGGAAGAACAGTTGGAGATGCTTCCCAACATCAATCTCTGATCTCATCATAAATATGCACTGGCACCCACGTGTTCCCACATACATGCAAACACACATGTACAACCCATACACACACACCCCCCCCACACACACAGAAATGGCAAAAGAACAATAATAAAGAGTTGGCAGGAAACTTGCAAAATAAATAACATATCCCCTTCCCCCAAAATCTGCTTGCTTTATCCCAAGCTATAGGGAAAAATGGGAGATACATTCTTCCACCTGGGCATATGAGTGGCCTCAACAAAAGCAGGTTGTTATAAGCCAGAGGAAAATGGATATAAGTTTGTAAGAGTGAAACCACTGAGGACAAGTCAGCCTTCGGGTTGCAACAGCAAGAGGTTTATTTAGTACACAGGTACCTGTGGGCACAAAGTCTCCTCGGAGGACTTGCGCGCCCCCATGCTGGGTTTTGGCACTTTTATAGAGCAGAAGTGGGGTACAGAAGCAGAAGCATGGTTATTGGCCCATTCAAACGAGTATAAAGCATGAGGAAGTTAAGTTGCTAAATTCTGGGTGGGTGACTTATGGTACAGATCTGATTTCCTGGTATCGAGCCCCGGGGATTGCCAGATGCAGATGGCTTGACCACTACGTCCTGTTTTTCTGATAAGCTAGTTTCTCAATGCTTGACTTCTTGTCAGGCATTCCTATCAGGTGGCCTCATGGCGCCTAGGTTTTTTTCAGGGGCAGCCCAAAGCATTAAGGAAAGCATGCCTAGAAAAGGAGAGAGATTATGGTTTTCTGAGGAATTCAGAAAAACGGACAGGACTTCCGGAGATCTCATGTCTATAACCTGGGCCAGAAGCACTGCACTAGGAGGTGGGATTCCAGGCAGGAAAAGTTCACTGCCTCATTAACCCACTAGGTAGTCTGCCCATCTATTTAGCATGACTTAAGGTGAGTCCACCTTAAGGGGTGGTTCTATGATCAGGGGATTGATCAGTGAAATTGGAAAGGTGGGTCTTCCAATAGATGGACTAGAGATTTTATCTTTTGACCAGTTAATCTTATGGGGTTTGTTACTCTAATAGCATGGTGGAAGACGGCATCTCTGGGTATATGCTGTAGCACTGGCCAGCACTGATACCTGGCAGTGGTCCATTTTGTTTTAGAATTACAGGAATTTAAGCGTCAGCCTTTGGTACTCCTTCTGTGTTCAATAGCAGAGTAAGCTGCAGGAACCAATGTTAAGGCAAGAATTGAACAGGCAAACACTGTTTGTCTGTGATGATTGTGGTGGGGATGGGTGAGTATGGGAAGGATGCACTAATGGATGCAGTTGACAGTGAGGTGGGTCTTGTTGCCCTCATTGGGCTGTGCCCCCATCTAGTGAGGGGATGACAGGGGCAGGCCTGGGGTGGCAGGTGCTTAGCTATCTTCATTTTCCCCTGGGTATTGCCATGCCCTTCCTTACCTCAGGGGCTAGGTGCTTTGAGCATGGGGAAAGAAAGAATGCCTATCTCGAATCTGCTTCCCTCGCCTTTCCTTTTGACCATCACGGTTTTCCCTTGCCCTGTCTAGTGATTACCCATCTTACAGCCCTGGGCAAAATCCAAACCCCTTAGCAAGACCTACAAAGCCACATCCTATGGTTTGAATTATTGTTGGACCCCCAGAGATGAACAGACACAGATAGGTCCCTGGCTACCACAAACCCCTAGCCTGATGAGTTTCCAAGCCCTATGTTCTGTCTCTGGCTCTCTCCGTCTCAGCATCTTCTCCTTTGAATAGTCGCCACCATCTCCAAGCCTGGCTCAATCTTTTTCATATTAGGAGTCCCAGCTTAGAGGAAGTTTGCAGTCATCTTTTCAGGAGTTCTGGGGACCCCACACTTCTCATTCATGGGGCTTCTCAGGTTCTCTGCTATCACATGTCTGTTCGGAGTCTCCCTGCTACTGATGAACTTCAAGAAGACAGATATATCTGTGCTCACATCCAGCCCTTGGTGGTGGTTGGTCTCTAGAGGGAGGGATGAGTCAACACAGGCTGGTCTACAAACCAGGGAGGTGGGCATAGTGGAAGTGGGCTCTGGTATGGGTCTCCATAAGCGAGAGCAGGTGTCTGTGAATGCCACAGGTGGGAGTCACAGCTGCACACACAGCACCAGCTGCTCATACGCCAACCACGACTCTTCTTTCCAAGGTCTGGCAGGGTCATGTCTTCCTGTGTTTAGTACACTGCCCTTCGCCTACTGCAACATTCATCAAGTGTGCCATTATGCCCGGAGAAACGACAGGTCCTATTGGCTGGCCAGTGCCGCTCCCCTTCCCATGATGCCACTCTCAGAGGAGGAGATCCGCCCTTACATCAGCCGCTGTGCAGTGTGTGAGGCTCCGGCACAGGCAGTGGCTGTCCACAGCCAGGATCAGTCCGTCCCTCCGTGTCCGCGGACCTGGCAGAGCCTCTGGATTGGGTACTCATTCCTGATGGTGAGTAACCTGCCCCTGAACCCCGTTTCTGTCTGGATTGGATAGTAAATCTGTGCTCTCTGTGTAGATACCAGGTGACACTGGGGAGCACAGTATTTCTTTTTCTTTTTTTTTTTTTTCATTATTGTTTCGATCACTTTGGAAGAAGATGGATTTACTTTAGCCATCAGTGAAATTGGCTCCATTCTGTGGGCACAGCCAAGATGTACCCTACTGCCCCTCAGCAGACTGTATTTTGTTCTTTATGGAATGATTTCAGGAAGAAATTTAAAACAAGCCTTGACCTAGGCATGTCACTGATTCGGTCTGGGTCATCTAGGGTGGCTGAACTCTTAATTCTTTATTTTTGTCTGGGTAGCACACAGGAGCTGGGGACCAAGGAGGAGGGCAGGCTCTCACATCACCTGGCAGCTGCCTGGAGGATTTCCGAGCGGCCCCTTTCCTCGAATGCCAAGGCCGGCAGGGAACTTGCCACTTTTTCGCGAACAAGTATAGCTTCTGGTTGACCACCGTGAACCCAGACTTGCAGTTTTCTGCTGCCCCAGCACCGGACACCCTGAAAGAAGGCCAGGCCCAACGCCAGAGAATTAGTAGGTGCCAGGTGTGCATGAAGCACAACTAGGGAGTACAAAATGCACCAAATGTGTCAAGAAAAGTTCTGAAGGAAAGGTACCTGCCTCTGCCAGCAGATTGAAAGGTGCTCACTCCAAACCCTAACCCTTCAGCTGTTCTCGACTCAGCATGGGTATTCCCAGGATCCTAACCACCCTCTCACTCTCTCTGCAGATTTGTGTGCCCCCCCACCAATCTAAAAGAAACCCACATATTCCCCTTTTACTGAGATGCTGGAAGAACAGGCTCTATTTGAACATGTTGCCAGAAAGGCAACGGAATGACAAAGACCAGATTATAAACTGAAAGCTTGATTCAATTGTTAATAGCATCACAAACAATTGAAGTCAATTACACTGTAGCACAGTGGGCTTCTGGTTAGATTTTACAGAAAAATACAGGCCAACCAATGAAATGACAGAGTAGAGATTTCCAGTGTTTCAAAATCATTTCCTCTGCAATCTTTTTTTTTTTTTCTAAATCATGCATTTTAAATAATTGTGAGACCATGACCCAAAGAGGTTTTTAAAAAGAAGGAAGAGGGAAAAGAATGGAAAATAAAAGCAGGCCCCCACACGGCCAGCGTTAGCGGTTCATTTCAAAGCAGAATGAATGAGTCATTATGCCAGGAAGGCCCACTGTCCTTGTATTCCAGAGCCATGACATTAGCATAAACACTTCACAGATGAATATAAAACATGATGTCCTCTTCTGCATGTCTCAGAGAACAGAAATGCCTACATTGGCAACCGTTTGGAGAAGTAGCAATTATAGAAAAAATATATTCAATAAGGGATTAGGAGCCTAAAAGCTATTAATGAATACTAAGGTAGTGATTCATAAAAATTGACTCCCCATCCCAGGGAACTTGCAAACAGACTGCTTTTTCCCAGTCGGGGGCCAGCATGAACTCGGTGCTAATGGGACTGAAGCCACCACATGGGGCTTTCTCAGGCGAGAAGGGGTTCATACAAAGCCTCCTGTGCCCCTCCCAGGAGAGCCTGCAGAGCCTCCCAGCCACTCACAATGGACACTTTTCCTCCTCATGCATAATGGCAACTCACTGGGGAAGTGACAGGGCTATCATTATGCACTTGGGAGGAAATTAAAGGCTGACTTAATTAACTAAGGTATAAGGAGATTCTTTAATTCAGGGTCACCCCACAAGGAAAGCACAGGGACTATCCAGAACAGAAACAAAGGCGTTACATGGGCTGAATTGTGTTCCTGTGATTGCTTTTTATGGGAGTGTCAGTCTTGCCAATTTTCAAACATTCTTAAACTTTGCATTAGTATCACAGCAAGGCAGCTGTTTGACATGTGACAGCAGCAGCTCTCAGACAAGTGTAGAAGTCAATTTACAATGAGTAAGTTTTCTGAATACTAAAAAGTCTGCAAGTTACTGGGCCGGGAATCCCAGTGGTTTAATTCTACAAATCAAAAGGTTTGCTAGAAAAGAATTTTTAGGAAACTCAACTTCCTCAGCTAAAGAAAAATGGTCATTCAAATGGAAAGGAAAACATCACCCCCTCATGCCAAGAGTGACACTTGTTCTAGAGCTTACTTTCAGTGCACCTAAAAATCACTGAAAGAAAGTTGCAAAGTTTTGTTTCTGGGACTGGAGAGACAGCTCAGTGGTTAAGAGCACTGGCTGCTCTTACAAAGGACCCAGCTAACAACCTTCAGTAACTCCAGTTCCAGGGGACTGATACCATCTTCTGACCTTTACAGGCACTGCATAACATGGGTACACTTACATCTAGGCAAAATACACACAGAAATGAAAATAAAATGTTTCCAGGGCATTCTCTTTTTGACCAGTGAGTGATGGGCTCCCCTATGCAGGATACATTTCAAGTGAGATTTTGCTATGGGCTGCTTGTGGGATGGTAGTTTGAGAGAATTTTCTGGTAAACATATATGTCCTCTTCTT